CGCCGGCGAGCACCTCCTACCTCTCCTCGCCCGGCTGCTCCCTTGCCCCGTCGCCCGCCGCGCCCTCGCCCGGCCTCAAGAGCTTGGCGGCCTTTGTCCGCCAGCTCAAGGCGTGGGACGAGGCGTGCGCCGACGGCCGCTCGTCGTGCTGGTTCGAGACGGAGGGCGACCTCCCGCGGCTGGCCGGGGAGGCGCTGCTGGCCGAGGCGGCCGCGACGGGCGCGAGGCGGATCGCCTTTGACGCCGTCGCGGCGCGTCTCGAGGCGACCGCGGCGCCGCCGCCGCCTCTCGGCACCGCTTTGGCCGCGTGGCCCACGGGATGGGGCATCGAGGAGGGCAACTTCTGCGGGCTGGCGCACTGGGCTGTGGAGGTGTGGCACGCGGCCGGGTCGGTCGACGCGAGCCGGTGGCAGGTCGAGGCTGACGGAGGGCGCCTCTTCTTTGTGCGGGTCGCGGAAAAGGCCGCATAATCGCGCTCTCCGCCGAGGCCCGCCTCGGCGACGGCGCTCGCCGCGCAGCAGCAGGCCAGCAGCAGTAGCAGCAGCAGCAGCAGCACGTGATTCTTGACACATGATTACACTACACAGTCCTCCCTTCGGTTGTCGTTTCGACCCTGTTTTTTCTTCTATCGCAGCGCACTCGCATCTGTGAGCCTAGCGCAGCGCGAACTCGCCGTCTGAGCCTAGCGCAGCGCGAACTCGCTCTGAGCCTAGCGCAGCGCCTCGGAAAACACCATTTTGGCTCGCCAACAAGCCCTCCGCGCCCCCACACCGTTAGGATAATACATTTTCATCTTTTTTCGCTTCGCTGCGCGGCCTGGGGATAGGTAGGTAGGTAGGGCGTTTTGGCGCGAGTCAGTAGGTAGGTAGGTAGAAAGGTGAAGAACAGCCAGGCTCGGACTGGACACCAACGCGGTATGGGTGGACGCTAGACAGATGATGACGACACGCACGAGCGACACACAGACACAAACAAGCTCACAAGACACACAGCCAGCTGGCTGCCAGTCGGACAGACCCCCTATCCGGGTAGGAGCCGGAACCCAGCATGCCTAAGCTTCTTGTGACAGGCGTCGCCGGCTTCATCGGAGGCCATGTGGCTCGCGTGGCGCTGCTCTCAGGCCTCGCGGTCAGAGGCACGGTGCGCGGCACAACGCATGGCATCGACAAGGTGCTCACGGGGCTCGAGGTCGTGAAGGTCGATCTACTCCACGACAGCGAGGCGGAGCTGGTCGCGGCGATGTCGGGCTGCACCTACCTCGCTCACGTTGCGTCGCCCTTCCCAGGTGGCGATGTGACTGACGACGAGATGAGGACTGCTCTCGAGGGCACCGCCAAGGTGCTGCGTGCGGCGGCCGCGGCAGGCGTGAAGAGGGTCGTCCTCACGTCGAGTGTGGCCGCGATCGGCGGCTCGGAGGACAAGGCCAAGGGAACTGCGAGCCGGCCGTTCACGGCTGAGGACTGGTCGCCAGAGA